AGAGAGAGAGAGTGAGTGAGCAGAGGTGGGGGAGGGGCACAAAGAGAGGGAAATGCAGAACTCAAGCAGGCTCCAGGCTCTGAGCTGTCAGCACAGAGCCAGATGCAGAGCTGGAACTCACGAACTGTGAGATCATGCCCTGAGCCAAAGTCGGATGCTTAACTGACTGAGCCACCTAGGGGCCCCCTACAGATGGTCTTCATATGCACATAAAAATTTATTCAATGTTATCAATCATCTAGGAAATGAAAATTAAACTATAATGAGATTCCACTATTTAACCACCAGAATAGTTGAAATTGATAAGCAGACAAAGCCCAATGTTAGTAGGATATTGAACAACCAGAACTCTTACATTTTGGATGGGAATGCAAAATGGTACTGTCACTCTGGGGAAAGTGTGACAAATGTTCTTACATAAGTCTTTTTGTGGATATACTTTTTTTTATTTCTCTTGGGTAGATACTTGGGAGTGGAACTGCAGGGAATATAATAAGCATTTCTACTCCTGGGTATTTACTCAACAGAAAGAAAGACTATACCCATGAAAAATGTTGCACAAGAATATTCATGGAGAGCAGCTTTTCTTCCTGGTCACCAAAACACAGGAACAGGTGTTCATCAACGGAAAATAAACAAGCTATGTTATAAACTGACACCCAGTTATACATTCATACTCAGCAATAAAAAGGAACAAACTACTGGATGAATTTCAGAAATATGCTGAGTGAAAGGTTGACAAAACAGAATTCTCAGTTAATGCATTGTAAAGTTCAGTAGAGAAAAAAATGAGAACACTGGTTGCCTCTGTGGGAGAAGGGGAAGGTATTGACTAGGAAGGGTCGTGAGAGAACTTTCTCTGGTAATAATAATGTTCTGTACCTTGATAGGGATTGGGTCACACAGGTATGTGCATTAGTCAGAACTCACTGAATTTTACACTTAAGATTTGTGCATTTTACTATACATAAGCTTTACTGCAAGAGGAAAAAGCAGTTTTAAAAGTTGTGATTTTGATACAAGTGATCTCAAAAGTACACTTTGAGAACCATTGGATTTGACTAATTTCAGAAATAATTCTTTCTTACCGTAAAATATAGTGATTCATAGATTATTAATGTAACATTTTGAATTTTTTCTTTAAAAATTAAATATTGTATTAAAAGTAACATTTCCTTATTAGTAGGTTAATGAGTCAGTGGACAAGCGTTTATGACATTATATAGTTCATTATTTCAATAAGTATTCTTTGTTTTAATAAGTGTTCTTTTTTAATGTGAGGAATGCAAGCTTAATATCAGGAGGAATAGCATATGGAAACAATTATACACTGATAGATGTAATTGAATTTGTTAAAATGTGGTTTGAGATGGATATTTACAATGATGTTTGGTAAACTGGGTGATGTACCTCTTTCAGTTAAACTCTTGCGTCTCACCCCCATGCGATGAGTATGTTTACTTATGTGATAGACCTCTAGTATCATTTACTTTAAGATTCTAGATGTTCAGAAGTTTAGAACTTTAACGTCATGTATCTTACTTGTAACATGAATCTGCAAACTTTCAAAAGTGCTTACAAGTTTTACAGTTTCAAAACTGAAACTGTAATGTTAATGACCAAATGCTGACTCACGGGCACAAGGGAAATCTGACCTTATGGGTTTATAGGTGAAATTATGTGTTCACCTGTCATGCCCTATCCCAAATAATCTCTCCTCCAGTAGGGTGTTGGTCAGATGCCTGAAATTCCACCAACTAAAGATACCTGCCTGTGTTTCTAAATTTTCCAGATAACAATCCCCTGGGGGCATTCTAAATTTCAGACTCCTCCCTTAAAGATTGGGATTCCTCCCTTAGAGACTGATTCAGGGTCAGGCTGACAGTGGGCTGACAATTCCTGTTTTTTAACTATTATCTTGTTGAAAATACAGATTCCTGGGCCCTACCCAGTACTTCTCATTTGTCTGGGATGAAGCCCCCAAATTTACATTTTTTGTAATGTTTGTATTTGTTTTTTTGAGAGAGCGTAAGCCAGGGAGGGGCAGGGAGAGGGGACAGAGGATCTGAAGCAGGCCCTTTGCTGACAGCAACAATCCCGATACGGGTCTCAAATTCATAAACCGCAAGATCATGACCTGAGCCAAAATCAGACACTTAACCAACTGAGCCAGGTGCCCCCAAATCTGCATTTTCTGGAGTATATACAATGCACAGTTCTGAAGGCTGTCATCCTAGTGTCGCTGCCTTCGTGGAAGATCCTTGAGTAAGTTTTGTCACTCTCACAAGTGAGAAGAGGGAAGTGGGAGATTGAAGGAAGATAATTTTAGAATTGAGGACAGACCTTAGTGTAAGACATAGGTGGAGGACAATAAGAACTTGAGGGACAGTGAGCATGCCTAAGAGAAAGGAGAGAATCTCCTGGGATCTGTCCTATGACTACAGTACTTGCTACCATTTTTGTGGGAGTGGAGCATGAGCCGCCTATTGGAGAGTGACTTTTTAAAGCAACTACATTCATTAGCTTTCGGATCATTCTGTTTGCCACCAAAAATCTGCCTGCATGCCCTAAGTTGCCAGTTGTTTTACATGCTAATGGAAACCTAGCCACTGTAAACATTCATTGATTTTTCTCTTGTGTAGTAAGAAGAAAACATAACTTATAGACCATCTTCTGGCAGAAGATGATAGATTTGGATCAGAAACGGGAGGCGCTGGAAGCCAGGAATCAAAAGTGAAGAACTTCTGCAAGCCCTTGGGTGATAAAGGTGACAAGGACTTATTTACTCACATGTCCCGCATTGTCATTATGTAGTAACCTGATGTGAGTTTGTTGCTTTTAGGCTGATGTATACCATCACACATGTAAGGGAGAGTAAGCTGCTGGAAGTGGGACTTGAGTGCACATTTCTCCTCAGGCTGCTTCAGTCAGTACTTCCTGTCATTACCTTGTCTGCATTTACTTCTACTCACTCCCCAGGACCCTTCCTCCACCTTTACAGGGCTAGAGCCCAGTCTGAAATGCCTTCATTATTATTCATAGCTAACATTTGTTGAATTCTTTTTGCTGCTAGGCACCGTGCTGCTCTGCTCCCCTGCATTTGTCATTCCCTTCTCAAAACAACCCAATGGTCCAGATGCTATGATTTTGATCCATTTTGTAGATGAAACATCTGAGGTTCCAAGAGGTTATATGTCTTGCCCAGGACCTCACAGCTAGGAAATGGCAGAACCAGATTTTATTTTATTTTATTTTATTTTATTTTATTTTATTT